CAGAGGTTTTTGATTGCTTCTATTTTTTTCAGTTTTATAGAAGCTGCTGTAATAAACATAGGCATGTATATGTCTGTGCTTGTTCTTTAATTCTTTAGAGGATACAGCAAGTAAAGGGATTGCAGGATCATAAGAATTTGTATTTGTTTAAGGATGCACCATATTGTTTTCCATCGGGCTTATACATTTCTACAATCCCACCAGCAATGGTTGAGTGTTCCAATCTCTTCACATCTTGTCCAGCATTTATTATTTTCTGAGTTTTTCTAAGAATGTCAGTGTGGGGTGGGGTGGGGTGGGTGGGGAGGTAAAGTTGTATTTCTCTTATTATTAATGGACACAAATATTTCTTTCCATAATTGTTGGCTGCCTCGATGTCATCTTTGTAAATTGTTCAGTAATATCTTGTGCTCATTTTTATTGGGTTACTTGTATTTTCCTTTAAAAAATTATTTTATTGGGGGCTCTTACAGCTCTTACCACAGTCCATCCATACATAAATTGTGTCAAGCACATTTGTACATATGTGGCTGTCATCAGTTTTAAAACATTTACTTTCTATTTGAACCCTTGGTATCAGCTCCTCATTTCTCCCTCTCCCCCACCCCCCCACCCTCATGAACCCTTGATAACTTATACACTTTTTTTTCATGTCTTACACCGACTGCTGTCTTCCTTCACCCACTTTTCTGTTGTCCATCCACCAGGGAGGGGGTTATATGTAGATCATTGTGATTGGTTCCCCCTCTCTCTAGCCCCTTCTCCTTAACCTCCTGGTATTGCTACTCTCATTATTGGTCCCGAGGGTTTATCTGACCTAAATTCCCTGTGTTGTGAGCTCTTATCTGTACCCGTGTACATGCTCTGGTCTAGCCGGATTTGTAAGATAGATTTGAGGCCATGATAGTCGGGGGAGAAGCCTTAAAGAACTAGAGGAAAGTTGTGTGTTTCCTTGGTGTTATATGGCACCCGGATTTTTCTTATTAAGATTTATAGTTTTCTATAGATTTTTGAAATTAGCCCTTAATCTGATATATCATTGCCAAATATTTTTCCCCAATCTATGAGTTCTCTTTTGGCTCTTTTATTTAAAAAGATCATTTTACTGGGGGCTCTTCCAGCTCTTATAACAATGCATACATCAATTGTGTCAAGCATCTTTTATACATATGTTGCCAGCATTATTTTCTAAACATTTACTTTCTATTTGAGCCCTTAGTATCAGCTCTTCTTTTTTTCCCTCCCCCCTCCCATTCTCATGACCCCTTTATAAAATATAAATTATTATTTTCATATCTTACACCAGCTGCTGTCTTCCTTCCCTCATGGTTTTTGTTGTCCCTCCCCCTAGCTAGGGGTGGTGGTGGTGTGTGGTTATGTGTTGATCGTTGTGATCACTTCCCCCTACCTCCCCTTCTCTCTCCATCTTCCCCCCTACCCTCCTGGTATCGCCACTCCCATCTCTGTTCCTGGGGGTATTTATCTGACCTGGATTCCATGTGTCCTGAGCTCTTATCTGTACCAGGGTACATGCTCCAGTCTAGCTAGAACTGAAAGACAGGTCTGGGGTTATGATAGTGGGGGGTGAGGAAGCCTCAAGGAACCAGAGGACTAGTTTGTGTTTCATCAGAGCTATACAACGCCCTGGTTGAATCATCCCTTCCTTGTGACCCTTCTGTGAGGGATGTCCCATTGTCTACAGATGGGTTTTGAGTTTCTGCTTTGTCCCACCTCATTCTCAGCAATATGTTTTGTTTGTTTGGGGTCTTCTGATTCCTGATACCTGATCCTGTGGACACCTCATGATCACACAGACTCGTGTGCTTCTTCCATGTGGGCTTGTTGCTTCTCAGCTAGATGGATCCTTGTTTAACTTCAAGCTTTTAGACCCAGGCATTATATCTTTTGATAGCCGGGCACCATCAGATTTCTTCACATTTGCTTGTGCACCTGCTTTGTCTTCAGCGATCTTGTCTGGAGGGTGACAGCACAGAATGCCAGGTTGTCAGAACAAAGTGGTTTTGTCTTGAGAGGGCTTGAGCAGAGGCCCAAGGTCCATCACCTTCCTCAGTGTGTTGCCAAATAAATACATGTACATAAGCCAATATCTATTTCCATGAATTAACATATTTACATATGTACACACCTATGTTTATACCTCTAGCCATACTTTGCTTCCTATGTCTTTCCTCAGTTTCCTTTCACCTTCCTCCTGTCCCAATATCACACCTGCCCTTCTTCTGCCTCTTCGTAATTTCTCTCAGCTAGTTTGCTGTTGCTCCAACACCCCCACGATTGCTATGTGCTCCAAGTCATTGATTTTCATTCCCTGCTTGTTCCTCTGTCTATGGTGTTATTTTCTCGCCTCTCTCTTCAGCCAAATTCCCTCTGAAACCGTAGGTCATGTTGCTTTCTTCTTGAATTTGTTTCCCATGCCTATCTCTTAATTTTCCCATCTAACAACACTGCCAGGAGAGGGATTCTACCTGGAAGTCAGCTTGACTCCGCCTCTCCTCTTTTTACTCTTCTGATGAAATATTTTGATGGGCATAAATGTTATATTTCTAGATAGTCCCAGCCCTCTATTTTGCCTTCTACAGTTCGGGTATTTTTCATTATGTTCAGTAGTGTATTTATACCTTGTATTAGGCAGCGGTTCTCAACCTGTGCGTTGCAGCCCCTTGGGGGTCGAACAACCCTTTCATAGGGTTCTTCTGATTCCTAATAGTAGCAAAATGACAGTGATGAAGTAGCAATGAAAATAATGTTATGCTTGGGGGGGGTCACCACAACATGAGGAACTGTATGAAAGGATTGCGGCATTAGGAAGGTTGAGAACCACTGTATTGGGACCTTAATATTTTCCTGATTTTTTATTGATGATCTTTATGATTCTAGGATTTATATCTAGGTCTTTAACTCATCTTGCATTCATTTCTTTACATGGCATGAAATATGGAGACTATTTTTTAAATCATTTTATTGGGAGCTTGTATAACTCTTATCACAATCCATAAAAAAATCCATTGTGTCAAGTACATGATCCTGTTTCATACTTTTCCAGTACCTTTTTTGAATTTTTTGAGCACCGTTTATTGAAAGGGTTATCACTTCCCTACTTTCTGTATTTTAGTCCTTTATCAAAAATCAGGGTCTTTAGGTAATTGGTTGTATTTCTGAGTTCTCATTTCTAATCCATTGGTCTTTTTCTATTTTTCTGTGCTGTTCATTTGGACATATGTATCTGATGAATCTATTAAATGGGGCAGGATATAAATATTCCAGTGGAAAATGGGAAAGAAGTCAGCAAAGAAGCTCCAAGAGAAAACTATAAGTGCATAAACATATTTGTAAAAGATACTGATCAGCACCCATTAAAAAATTAATCACAGTTGCCATTCCCAAAAGTCCACTATTTATTCCTTTATTTTTGGTAAACTATTGTTGAGAAGTTAAGTTATAAACTTTAGGTTAGATTTTTAATTGTATATCATGAGCCAGTAAATCTTATACTATTTGACTCCTTCTATGTCTAGAAATCTTTCTTAAAGGGAGAAACACCACCTCCCCCCCACCCCTCCACCCCAGAAGTTAAAGCGTTAAGGATCTTCCTTTTGTTGAGGCTCTTCCTCTCTTTTGCTGCCCCTCTACTTGACCATGCAATGAGCTCCTTTTTCAGGGACCAATCTCTCTCTCACAATAAGCCTGAAGTATGTGAGACAGAATCTCCCTGTCTTCACTTCCAAGGAGCATTCTGGCTGTACGTCTTCCAGGACAGATTTGTTTGTTCTTCTGGCAGTCCACGGTACTGTCAGTATTCCTTGTCAGCACCATCATGCAAATGCATCCACTCTTCTGTGTCCTTCTTCACTCGGTGTCCAGCATCCGCGTGCTTCTGAGGTGATTGAACATCCCATGGCTCAGGTCAGGCGCCCCTTCCTCCTAAGAGTGGCATCATTGCTTATGCAGCACATTTGCCCAGTGCAGGATGCCATTTGATTCCTGGACTGTTGCTTCCATATGTATTGATTGTAGATCCAAATGAAGCCTATAAATAGGCTTTAAAAAATCATTAAAAAATGAAATTAAAAGTTAATGGAATTTGCTATGAAGTTTTTGAAGGCCCCTGGGTGAATCTATAATCATAAAAATTGTTGGCAAAAAAAGAATCTGGCATTACAAGAAAAAGAAAAAAACAATTCTGGCATTAAAAGAAAAAAAAAATTGTGCCACTAATCATTGGTATGACAATAATTATCTTTTTTTTTTTTAAATTAAGAGATCATTTTATTGGGAGCTCTTACAACTCTTACTACAATCCATACATCAATCACATCAGGCATATTTGTACGTATGTTGCCATCATTCTTTTTTTTTGACAATAATTATCTTTACTGGTATAGATATCTTTTTCTTTTAGTAGCTATTTAAATAATCTGTTTTTAAATCAATAAATGTTTATATAGAAATTTTCATATCTTATTATTATTGTAAGAGCTGTTACTCATTGAACATCTCTTCTACATCAGGCAATTTTTGCTTGGCTCTGTCTGTAGGGCATTACGAATACATGCAGCCATCTAATAAGGCTGTCATTTCCTCCATGAATCAAGCCTATTTAGGACACACGAAGATGTCAAGGTGGCCATTTGACCCACATTTCCCTATTCTGGGCCTGTATTATACTTTGGAGTGGACTTGCTAAGTTGACATAAAAGAAAACCAGTCATAGTTGGATTTCCAAATTTATTGGGCCTTAGAATCGGCTCTATCCCTGGAACTCTAGATAATCAGCTCTATTTAAGGTTAATCTTATGCTCAACCTACCTCAGCAGATTTACTCCTGACTTTTGCTCTGTGGGTGAACTTGTCCCATGTGACAAACTATGTGGGGTGTTTGCTGTCGTTCCCCACCCCACACACACACACACACACACACACACTCACTCACTCACTCACTCACTCACTCACTCATTGGCAAGTTGTCTTCTTTATTTCAGCTCTACGATGGATCACACCGGATAGGACGCTACTGTGGAACAGAGATTCCTGCCTCAGGGAGCACTGTAAGCCCACAGCTTCATGTGCTGTTCCACACGGATGGGGTTGGTGACCAGGAGAAAGGATTTCAGATGCAGTGGTTCATTCATGGTGAGTCCTGAATCTATCTCAGTTATATTTGACAGTTGCAATCTTTTCCTTTCCAACTCCATACTTGGAAATAATACAGTCAACAAATCATGGAGCCAGGTTATAATCTGGTGCGTTTAGCAAGCTTATTTCAACATTCCTAGAACTTAGAAAATGAAGTCCTGTTGGGGTTAAGAGAAGCAGTGAATTCAAATAGGTAGGATTCGGGTAGCTGGATAAGTGGCTACAGCTAGGAATGACTTAAACAAAAAGTGGGGACAGAATAATGTGTGTAAGGTGAACGTGTATACCTCGGTGTGCTGAGAGAGGAGGAGCTGAGCCAAGGTGTCCCTTAGTGATGGATGCACTGAGCCAACAATGGGCAGTGCAGCTGCCAAACGGCAACCTAAAGCCCGACACATGTGCCATGCAGAAAATAGAGAGGGATAAGCATTGCTCTGAAGACAGCACATTATTTTTAATAAGAGGTCTGTACTTGACCTCATGTAGGCCAGTCTTAAAATGGAAGGGCCTCAGAACACTGGTTTACAAACCTGGTCCCCAAACGATAGCCTTCTCATCAACTTGGAACTTGTTTGAAATAAAAACGCTTGGGCCTCATCCCTGACGCAGATATACTGAATCAGTACAGGGGAGGCCTTTACCTTGTCTGCCCTGTTAAGTTTGAGGACCACTGTCCCAGAGGAACCCACATTTGCATACTGTCCTCCTTGTAGAAACCATGGTAACAATACTCAACCATAGCAACAGTACTTAGCTAAACTGTTAGGGCTCAGTGGTATGTTCCAGTCAATTTGAAGAATGAGGGATGCACAGTATTGTCAAGAATCATACTCAGACACCTAAGCTGTACTCACATCATCAAAGCCCAGGTGCAGCCCAGTGTGCACACCTTTGGCATCGAGTGCATGCTGACTCCTAACACCCCTCCATAGGAATTTTGAAGCTGTACTAGCAACACCTTTTTCAGTGTAGGCCAGAGAGTGGTAAACAGAAGGACTGCGAAGGAGCCCTGCTGGTGCCCTGGGATAGACACTGACCTGCTAAAACCATAAAGTCAGTGGTTCAAACCCACCTGCTACTCTGTGAGAGAAAATAGGATGCTATGCGCTCGAATCAAGATTGACAGTCTCGGAAACCCTATGGTTTGCTGTGGGTAAGAATCGGTCTTGGTTTGGTTTAAATTAACAAACCCCCCTGGGGCTCAGGAAGCTGGAGAATGGTTCTCAGCCCTGAGCCTGCTTTGTCTTTACCTGGGAGTCTTCAAAAATATTCATGACGAGGACCCACCTTCATAGACTGACTGGAGCCAATTGATCTAGAGTAGAACTTTCACTATAGCTAACTTCAGGAAGCGCCCTACGTACGTAATTCACCTGGGTTGAAAATTTTGGGAACAGTGACTTTTCTGATTCACTCCTTCTCCTTCAGGTTGTTCTGGTCAAACTAACCCAAGTCCGCCCTAAGGAATTTTTCATTTATAGTCATTAGTGGCCTTTGCCCCATTGCTGCATCATTGGGATCTTGCAACCATTGTAAACTTCTTGCCAAGAAGTTAGACAAAACTCAGGCCTCTGATGAAAGCTCAGCCTCCTTGTGAATTTACCTTTCTCTGGGTTGTTAAAGACACCCTCTGTTTGCCTGTTTACTGTTTCAAAACTTTCTCCCAGTGGCTGAAAACTTGCTTAGCACGAAAACAGTTGTGAACTATAATTTTTGCCAGCTGGGACACAAACTGGGGAAAACAATGTAATGGACTGCTATCCACAATGTACAACTTGTAAATTCTCATAAAATATAGTGGAAAGAATTTTCTAGAGTGGAATTGTTAGTGCTTTACCAAAAAGTCCCCAAAGAAACAAAAACAAAAAAACCCTCACGGACATCAAGCTCATGGCCAATCACAGCGACGCTATAGGACAGGGTAGAACTGCTGTGGTTTCTGAGACGGTGCCTGGTGTCCGGAGCTGAAAGGCCCGTCTTTCTCCCTCTATTTAAAATCCACAAACTTGTGAAGTAATAATTATGCCATGTTATAACTACAGAGAACCTGCACCTGCCTCGAAACTATGTCTGTACTCTGACATTGCCAGAGAAGGACAAGTGATCCCAGAACATAAAAACGTTAAAAACTCACTGCTGGAGACTCGATTCTGACTTCTAGTGACGCCATAGGACAGGGTAGAGCTGCCCCTGAGGAGTGTTGAGACCGTCACTCATTATTAACAGGAGTAGAGAGCCTCAATTTTCTCCTGAGGAGTGGCTGGTGGTTTTGAACTGCTGACTCAACACACATTGAAGCCCAACTCTTAACCACAAGCAGCAGGAGAAAGTTCTTCGATGGGAGAGCTATTACTGCCCCTCCTGCAGCCTCTTTCTCTCTTACTCTCTTTGTTCTTTCTTAACCCTTTGGAGATCAATTGCAGGTGTCCACCATGAGCTAGTTACTGATTTGTTCGTTCCACAGATAGAAAGGGTCTGTGTTGTACCCGGTAGTGCTCGGTTGGGGACAACTCACACCAAAGGATACTTCCTGTTCTCTGGGCCCCCGGGTTCACCAGGGTCCTAGACACCCTGGGCAAAATCTCACCAATAAAAAACCAGGATAAGGGCCTCAAGGGAGAGATATAACAGAGGTGCCCAGTTTAGGGTGCTTGACCTAGTCAGGAGACCAGGGCAGACCTCGGTGAGAATGGAACATTTTAACAAAGAGCTGGAAATAAGCAGGAGCTGCCTAGGTAAACGGAAGCCATAGATGGCAGACTGAAGAAACACCCTGTGGAGAGAGGAAATGGGGGATGGGGCCACGGAAACCCACAAACCAACAGCAAACCCTAAACTCACTGCCATCAAGTTGATTCGGACGCCAGGAGACTCCTACTGGATAGAGTAGAACTGTTCTTTAGTAATTCTGAGATTGTCCATTGGATTGGAGCAAACCCACCTCATCTTTCTGCCATGGAGCCTTCAGTGGGTTGGCATCAGGTTAGCAGACCAGCACGTACGGCCCCAGCCCGCACAGGTCTCTGTTGGCAAGTCACCAACAAGCCATGCTAGAGGGAGTCTAACAAGCTAATGGAGCGGCCGGCCTACCTGGGTAATAAATACAGTTAGCAGCCCCGACAGGAATAGGGTCTGCACGCTTCCGGTATTGTAATGCAAGGAAGGGAATTTTGAGCAGGGTCTTGAAGGATTGAAGCATCCGAGCAAGTTGGGCACGCCTACCCGTTAACGAGCATGGACAGTCGCACATGAGTTGGTGATCTTTTTGAAGAAGTGTGCGAGCACTGTGTATACAGACATGCGTGTGTGTGTGTGTGTGTGTGAGACACAAGGAAAAAATTATTCCCGCACATTGTCTCCGCGGGGTATCTCCCCAGAACCAAGCGGGAGTGGGCAGGGCCTCTGGCCTTGTGGTCAAAAGGGGCTCTTCCTCATGCAGTGAAAGGAAGTGGCTTGAAACCCCACCCCCATTGCATCAGAATTCAGTCCCGAGACA